GTTATTGCGCGCAATTACGTAGACGATACAGGAATCTTGTTGTACATCCACGAGCGGGCCGGCCGACCGCTTCCGTTGTTTTTGAAGAATGTCCTGGTCTATGGCAACCACATTGTGGAACGTACGGACCCCGGCGGCCGAAAAAGCGGTATCTATTACCTTGAACCCCACCAGGATTTCACGGACGAGAATCTAGTCTACGCTGGAAATGTTTTCGAGATCGAAGGAGCTAATCCAACTTCAAAAGATTGTATATTCATTGGTAAACACGCTAACCTGAATCAACACCACGTGTATGAGGACAATATCTACGAAGGCACCACTCCTCCAGAACATGTGAACATTAAGGCCGCCCAAGGAACACTGCATCTTGAATCAGGGTCTGCTTCTGTGCCAAGCGCCTACGTTGCCATGACTGTACCCCGGTACAATATCGCGCAGTATGCTCCCAAGTCTTCAAGTGGCTAAGATTGGTGAGTTCTGGAGTGCATTCAATCAGGAATGCAAAACATCCGCTTAATGCCAGTAGTTACATTGTACTAGTTGATAAGTTAAACATGTCGATGTCTTTTCTCGTAATAAAAATGTAAGAAAAATTTTCAACGTGTTTTTTAGTTATTAAAATCTTTAAACAACAAGACGTAGGTAGGCAAAAACAGTGGAATAGATATAACTGGCCATGACTGCTACCTTCAGATAAACTGTCTATCTTTTTCCTGAAACCAAATCTGACCCCAGACACATACATACATACATACATACATACATACATACATACATACATACATACATACATACATACATACATACATACATACATACATACATACATACATACATACATACATACATACATACATACATACATACATACATACATACATACATACATACATACATACATACATACATACATACATACATACATACATACATGCATACATACATACATATACATACATACATACATACATACATACATACATACATACATACATACATACATACATACATACATACATACATACATACAAAACTTTATTTAAACCACGCTAGCCTCAACAGCCGTTGGAAGGCTGGTTTCCATGAGGGGCGTGAAATTACCTATTTACAAAAATCAACTATATACAAAATATAACAAAGTAAAAAAATACAAGTGATTTTAGCTGCACGATTTGACACACAAGCAAATTTCAACTCATTCTTTGTTTCAATATCGACTTGAAAGAGCTTAGGGATTTAGCAATTTTTGCCTCATGGGGAAGATTATTGCAAGGCAAGGCACCATTATAACTGAAGCACCTCTTGCCGAAATCTTTTTTCGGCATAGGTGGTGCTAAATCAGTATATATCCCTATTTCTATGATTGTAAGTATTATGTCTTTCATTATTAATATGAAATGCTTCTTTAATAAGATTGGGTGCGGTGTGGGGCCATTCAAAATTTTATAGACGAAAGTAGATTTAAGATAATTTCGTCTTTCTTCTAGAGGTTTCCAATTTAGATTATTGAGTAACTCAGATGACCGAATATCGTAGGTTGCCCCAGTAATTACTCTTGCATCACGATTTTGGTATTTTTGCAACTTATCTTTGAGCCCAATTCCACAATTATCCCACAACGGGCTAAAACGGGCTGCAATAATCGAAATAAGGCTGTATAATAGCATTATATGGCATTTTGGTTGTCGACAGTGGTACAAAAGGTTTAACACGTCTCATTGCACCAATACCGCCACCAACTTTAGAACAGATTGAATCAATATGTTTATCCCAAGACAACCTTTCGTCCATAGTCACGCCAAGGCATGAATATTTATTAATCCTGGGTACTAGCTTATTATTAATTAAAATAGGATTACCGAACATATGTTTCGATTTACTGGGGTGGATTTGAAGTTTATTGTGTATCATCCATTTGCGTATGTTTTCGAGATCAATATTTACCTTGTCGACAAGGTCGGCGCAGTCATTAGAAGTTGCATAAATTTCCGTGTCATCAGCATAGAGTGAAGGAGTTAAGTGACCTAACGAGTCAGGCATATCATTTATGTATAATAAAAATAATAGAGGACCAAGGATGGACCCCTGTGGAACTCCGCATATTATCTTTTTTGGGCTCGATAGTTGTCCGTTTATAAGACATTGTTGAACTTTGTTATTCAGGTATGATTCGAACCATCTTAGTTGGTTTCCTGTTACTCCGAAAAAAATTACGCATTTTATCAATCAGAATTTCATGATTTATGGAGTCGAAGGCTTTTCTAACATCAAGAAAGACTACACAATTTATTTGACCACTTTCCATGTTTTTAAGTAAATTATCACATTTGTATCAACGCAGACAGGGTTGAGTGTTTAGGTCTAAACTCTGATTGGAATTTAGAAAGTAATGAGTTATTGGAAAGATAGCCATAAAGCTGTCGAAAAACTCTCTCTTAAAAACTTCACTTACAATGGGGAGTATGGAAATTGGCCTATAATTTTCACATTTCCGTCGATCTTCAGATTTGAAAATTGGAATTACTCGCGCGCGTTTCCAGACATCAATATAAATGCCAGTGTTAAGTGATACATTAAATATATATGTCAATGACGGGGCAATAATATCTGGAGAGAAACTGAGAACATTGGCTGGAATTTTATCAAGGCCAGTAGATTTGTTTATCTTAAGGTTCATTAATGCCAGAAAAATGTTTTCTACATTAATACGATGGAAATGGAATATTGTATCTGTTGGGGGATTGGAATTATGGTAGCTATTTGTAGTGTGTTGAGTAAAAGGCTCTTCACCAGCTTCAGGCTCTTCACTAGTTTCAGAAGCTAGGCTAGGGCCAATGTTAACAAAATATTCATTAAACGTTTCAGCGATTAATATAGAATCGGTAATGCTGTTGTCATTCACAGATATTTCTGTAATACTGGAAGATTTGTTATTCCTTCCAGTAAGGGAATTTATAAGGAACCAAATTTTTTTGAAATCATTTGAATATGTCCAGTCCCTTATCTCTTTGTAATAAAAGTCAATTTTGCCTTCTGGGAGCGGGCATGCCGTTTTAATAAGAAAAACTACGTGGAACGACAGAGATTGGCCTTCAAGTTTGGCTTCAAATTTCCGGTTAGGGAAAGCGAACCCGTTATATTCCGGTTCCAACTCCCATCGCGTTCTCCCGAAGTCCCGCGCGCTTGCTCAGTAGTTATACCAGGGCGCATATATATATATAAGCGCCCTGGTTTATACCGAAGAGCTTGTGCCTGGAACAACTTACCCATTGACATAGTCAACGGGTATGAGCAACTATCAACATTTCATTTTAAAATTTTAATCGAGAATTGTTTTTCTATTGATTAAATGACTGTTGATAATGCTCACATGTATTGCAACATGACTTATTAATATTGTTTTATTTAACATGACTTATTTTGTAAATATCTAGTATTAATATTTTATAGGTTTATATAAAACGATCCCTTGAAAACGGCTATCGTTTCTAAATAACTATTATAAATAAATAAATAAATGTATGATATTTGTGGTGTTACTCTGAGTGTATATCCACACCGGTCGAGCTTGAAAAATATGCCCGGCCAACGGTGGGATTCGAACCTACGACCTTTGGAATACTAGCCCAATGCTCTTCCAACTGAGCTACGCGGTCAGGACGGTTCGAGTAAGTGATATTTCGGAACAGAATCTAGTTCCTTCGATACCAATGTATTCTAGTAATATGAATTTT